AGATGCAGTGCCCGTATTTGTGTTCCAGATGTTGGCGACTTGAGGAGAGTGATCTTGGAGTAAGCTCATAACTCCAAGTATATAGTACATCCCAGCTCCACTAAGATGTATCAGGATGTAAAGCAGTTATACTGGTGGGAAGGTATGAAGCGTGATGTTACTGATTTTGTATCACGGTGCTTGACCTGTCAGCAGGTGAAAGCCGAGCATCAGAGGCCGGCTGGACTACTTCAGCAGATTAAGATCCTGGAGTGGAAGTGAGAAAGAATCACTATGGACTTTGTGACAGGATTACCCCGCACACTTAGGGGATTTGACTCTATTTGGGTGATAGTCGATCTGTTGACTAAGTCAGCTCATTTCCTTCCAGTGAAGACGACGTATGATACCCTTCGGTATGCACAGCTATATATTGACGAGATAGTGAGACTCCACGGGGTACCTATCTCTATCATATTCGATCGGGAGGCTCAGTTTGCATCTCGATTTTGGAGGGCTCTTCATGAGGCCCTCAGTACGGCCTTTCGCCCTCAGTACGGCCTTTCACCCTCAGACCGATGGACAGTCCGAGAGGACGATACAGACACTAGAAGATATGTTACGGGCTTGTGTCATGGATTTTGGGGGCAATTGGAGTCAGTTCTTACCATTGATCGAGTTTACATATAATAACAGTTATCAGGCAAGTATTCAGATGGCACCATTTAAGGCTTTATATAGGCGGCATTGTAGATCTCCAGTTAGATGGTTTGAGACCAGGGAAGCTAAGCTTCTAGGCCCAGACTTAGTGCAGGACTCGATGGACAAAGTTCAATTAATTCGACAGAGATTGTTAGCCGCGCAGAGTAGACAGAAATCTTTGTTGATCAGCGTTGTCAGGAGCTCGAATTTGCAATGGGTGACCATGTGTTCTTAAGAATATCACCATTGAAGGGCATCATGAGATTTGGAAAGAAAAGAAAACTCAATCCTCGATATATTGGTCCATTTGAGATATTAGATCGGGTCGGCGCAGTAGTGTATCGATTGGCCCTTCCTCTTGAGTTTTCAGCGGTGCATCCTGTATTCCATGTATCCATGCTTCGAAAATACTTGCCTGATCCGTCACATGTTTTGGCACCACAGGAAATACATTTAGATTCTAATCTGTCATATGAGGAGGAACTTGTGGCTATTATCGACCGACAGATTAAGAGACTGAGGACGAAAGAACTTGCATCTGTGAAAGTAATATGGAGGCATCACTCGAAAGAGAAGGCGACATGGGAACCAGAGGAAATGATGCGTTCAAAATACCCCCACTTGTTCGAGACATAAGGTTAGTCAGTATTTTGAAATTTAAATTCGAGGACCGAATTTCTTTTAAGGGAGGAAAACTGTAAAACCCCAGCATAAATTATTTTTTTTTTAAAAAATCTGGACGTGATCCGAACATCTGAGACGTCTGGATCCACGAAACCACGAACGGAGAACTTCCAGATTCGAGATCTCCACAACCGATTGATTCGTTTTTTTTTATAAAGCCGACCGATCATTGGAAGAATTATAAAAGTCTCAAATCAATTTTGAAACCAAAGTTACAGAGTGCTGGAATTTGGGGATAGAAATCTGATAACCGATCAGATTCCATTGGGTGTTGGTTTAAATCAACTAATCGGAGCAAATTAGAGGGAGTAAACCGATCGAGGTCCACCGATTCTTCATTTCGAGTTCTGAAGGAGAGGAAATTTCAAGAAAACTAGAGGTAAGAAGCTTACAATTTCTTGTTGAAATGATTCGGTAATTCTGGAATTCTGTAATTGCTGTAGAAGAACCGGGTTGAGCAGATAAGACTCGTCTAGATATCCGAGTGAGCGTGACCCGATTTTCCTGGTTTGCTTGGGCTGGGCCAAACGGGCCAAGCCCTGTATGAATCTGGGTGATTGGGCTTCGGGCTAGAAGGCTGGGCCATGAACCAGGCCCAGCCCAGTAATCCAATGGGGTTAAGGGCTCGGATCCAGAATTCTGGATCCAGCCCGGTAAACAAAAAAAAAAATAATAAATAACAGAAATTATTAAATAAAGCATAAATGATAAAACCGGCCGGTTCAGTGATTTTCGGTCCGGTTCTTGACCGGTTCAAAGCACTGCTATGAAGCTAATTTAAATATCTACCCGATCCTAGGCTGGTTCAAATGAAAACTAGCCGGTTCAATAGTGAACCGGGCGGCCCAATGTTAAAGAAAAAATATAATAAATTAGAAAATCACCAGCTCATGCTATTTATGGCCGGTTCAGGGCCATTACTCACCGGTTCAGTGAATCTAAATTTGGTTAAATGACTTTCATGACGGTTTTACGTATTTCGAGGCCAGTTCAGTAGATTTAAGGCCGGTTCAATGGGTTTTATGCTCGGTTTAAGCGGTTTAAGTTCGGTTTAATGGTTTTGAGACTAATTTAATAGGTTTTTGTCCCGGTTCAGTGATTTTTCTCACTGATTCAATAAGTTTCAAGTTTGGTTCAATGTGTAGGAGGTCTGGTTTGGTATAGTTTGATCGGTTTGGGATTTTAAGATTCTCGAAATGGCTTAAAATATGAAAATTAAGGATAGAAATGGGGTTTTTAGAATAAATTAGTTTTAAATTAATTTTGAGAAATATTATGTTCTGAAATGAATATTTTGATTATCTTTAGATTAATTGATTAACGTTCGGGGAGCTGAACTGTCAAAGCTCGATTTTCGTAATTCTCGGTTTCTATGAATAATAATAGATATTTATATGTTTAAATTGCTGTTATGCTTGTATAAATTCATTTTTTACATATATTGAAATTATTTTAGTTATTATCCAGTTTGAATTAAATTATTATCAAGGGACGTATATGTCATTTTCTGATTTGTCAGGGAACTTACGAATTTCTGATTTTGAACACTGGCATACTTTGGAGAACTTGAAAACTGATAACTCATTTTGTTAAATTTTGATAATTGATTTTAAGGGAGTATTGAACTGTTAGAATACTCTAACTAACAGTAGTAGGTATTAGACTGGGTGCACATTGACTTGTATCCCTAGTTAGCAGGGGTGGTGCTAGACTATCACGTGTGGTTGACGTGGTAGGCCTATTTATTGATTTACGGCAGACTTTGAGTCGCCGTCCTGATATCTGTATATTGGCATACGATGAGTTTGCTGTCCTGTTTCTATTTTGTTTTCAGTGTCGAACTCCCTAACTTGTATGAATTGAGAATTATGCTTTAAAACAATAAATGTTTTATATATGTCTCTCGTATGTAAATATGTATTATTATTCATTAGGTCAATAGACTCATTCTTTTATTTGCTAGACTCAGGTTCGACTCTATCGACGGATCCTGCTGCGTGATTGGAGTCAATCGATCTTGACTATTCGATTCAGTTCTCGAGATAGTAGTTAGTTTTTATTTTATTCTGATGTATTGTTTCGTTTCTTTTAGTTAGTTTTGAGATCACAGACAGGTTTTCAGTGTAGAGACAGGTTTTAATGATTATTTTATATTTCAGATTTTGATTTATAAATTATGATTATTTATGAAATTGTCAGTTTCGTGTTTGATAAGCTTGCTGAGTTGGAATTCATTCTAATCCTAGCGCCGGTCACAAATCTAACACCCGGGTCGTGACATTTTCTCTTATTGTTATTACAGATAGTAATTATGTAAATGAAAGGGTATAAAGTGGAGGGTAGCAAATATCTATTTTGTACACACTTTGTTTATTTATTTATTTGTTTGTTTTGGATCTAAGACTCCACGTTGAAGTCTGAGCAAGGCAATTAAATATAGTTACAGTCGATGGCCCTACCAATTTTTTTTTTTACGTATTGGGTAAGTATCGTGATTACACTGCTTGGGTGGTGTTTAATGCAAATATAAAAAAGCGTGGATTAGATAGATAATTAAGGAACATTTGTGGGTTGGCGTGGCATTAATGATAAAATAAAGTGGAATCTATAAAAATCATTACATAAAAAATACGTGACGAATTAGTCCCTCTATCGCGATCTGCTGTGTGTAAAATTAGTATTTCTGTTTTCATGTTTAACAGTAGGTGACAATGGTAGTGGTTGATCTTTTCATTTTTGATTTTTTCGAATATTCATCAGAAACTTTAACATCTGATTTTAGAAATCTTTAATATTTTTTAAAAATTCAACAATTTTTAATGACATTTGAAACTAAAATTTAATTTTTTAAATAAAAATATTTTTTTTAAATTTTAAAATTCAAATAAATGTCCTCAATGGAGACAACATCAATTCGAGGTCAAATTAGTTTCATGTACCAGGGTAATAAAAATTATTATAGCCAAATATAAAATATAAATAAATTGAATTTAGTGTTGTCTATATTCAACATTTGTTAGTTTTATATTAACAAAATAACGATCATATTTGTACAGAAAAATTATAAGACGGGAAAATTTTATCTTTATCCAAGGAAGAAGTAGATATTAGGTGGGTATTGGAAGGAGAATATTCCTATGGTGTTAAAGTGTACTACCAGTAATATTAAATTACAGTTTTGTGCCAAGCGTTGTCGTTATATTCAGGTCGCCGGATCATCGCTTTGCAACAATTAACCTTCTCGGTTTGCAGACAGGAACAGCATGATTCCTGGAGAGAGGGAGGACGGGGAACTGTGATTCGACTGGGTGTTTGATGTGCTAAAACCCTAGTCTTCTTTTGATGGAGCGTCACTGACTAATTGAACGTGTGAGATCGAAAATGGCGGAAAAGAAGGTCAAGAACGAGGCTAGTAGCAGTGGCGGAGGCGGAGGAACCAGCAGAGGCGAAAGCGTCACGATCGATGTTGGCCGCCGCAGAAGCTCTTGCGGTTATTGTAGATCAGGTGGACGTACTAGTATTTCTCACGGTAAGTGATTTGATTACAGTTGTGTACGCTCGCTTATTCGTGTTCACCGTTTGTTTAGATATGATAGTGGGTAGCCTGAAATTTGAATGCGTCGAAAGATTGTTATATGAATCGTGTGAATTTTCCATTTTGCTTTAATCAATTTGTTTGTCGTTTTAAGTAATCTGTCAAACCCTGAGAAACGAATCATGTGCCTTCGACGAGCGAAATCGTTTTGTGGTCTGTGAATGCGTGTTAACTTGTGAACAGATTGGAAGTTAGTTTCTTGCCAAGCACATCATACGCATTTTTCTTTAACTTGGATGTTGAAATGCTTTGGCCGGTGTGTATAAGCTGGGCGTTGCTTTTTTTAAATTAAGCTTGGATGTTGAAGTACTTATCTTTCTTGATGAATACCATATATGCGTCTTTCTTTCAAAAATTGCCTGCTTTTAGTTGGATTCATATTTTTAGCTGTTAAACAATTTCAATTACATGAAGACCATAGAATGCAGAAGCGCACACCTTGTTCTGCCCTTGAATACTGCGCTCGTTCTCAAGGTTATGTCCTTGTAATGCTTATCGGATCATCCTGAAGGTGATGATCCGGTGGCTATTGTTACTGCATTGGGTGCTTTATGTGGATTTTTCTATTTCTTTCACCTATGGCCTATCAATAATTTTTATTAACTATATACATCGGCTGTTGACATTTTGTGGAAAACGCATGTTCTAAATTTATAATATGCTTTCTCATCATTATGCCCACCAGCCTTCATATATTTGTCGTTTTTCGCCGATTCGACTACAAAAATGTTACATGCCAAGAAACATTTGAATACTGATATCTAACTGCCCGTGGCTAAGTCACTAACCTTAATTGCTTGCCAAGTGTGTATCCTGTAACAATGGTGCAAGGAAAGGGGATTAATGATTGGAAAACTGTTGCATTGTTTTTTATTACCCATCTTTCACGTTCTTTCCTGATTTTGAAACTACAGATTTTAGCCTAAAAAGTTCCTAGAAGGATTCAGAAGTATAGCCTTTCACAGAATTTACTTGTCAAAAGTAGTAAACAAAGTTGATATGTGAGGCTTTGAATTTGATTCCAAATTTTTGAGTGTTTCTTGGTATTTCTTCTGAGACTCGTAATCATTGCATTTATGCATGGATTTTGCAGGTTTGTGGGCACACAGTTTGACAGTTTATCACTATCAAGGTTAGTAACTCTTGCTTCTCGTCACATATTGCTAGTCAAAGCCTCTTATACTCATATAGGAGCATTAATTTGGATGTGGCTATGGTTACTATGCATTTGGTTTAATCTGAGAATATAGATAATGATTTCATCAAAGTCAAATTTTATGTCCTTGTTGTCATCCTAACAATGGTAATTTGAATTTGCATCTTTTGCCCCTCGCTTTGGATGTCCTTGTTGTTTCTCTCTCTCACCTCCCTCCTTTATTTGCAAAACTAGCTGTTGAATTAGTTAATGTGGCTATGGATTGCTATATGAGAATGCTTGGATGTAATTCACGATTTTCTGAAATTTTATAGGAAAACACATGTGGGAAATAGACTTGTATTCCAATGTGCTAATGAGCACTCAATTTTTATCTTAGACACTTTGATAACTAATTCGCTTTTAACTTTCTGTTTGCGAAACTAACCTATCTATTGGTCTCTTTTAATTTGACAATGTGGTGCAATGATGTTCTTTTACTAGTATGTCATATTCATTTTTATGTTTTAATTTTTACCTTTTTTCTATGCCAGGGGTTGGGGGGTGTATTATAAATAGATGATTATTGATTACAGGTTGACATATTTATTAGTTTAAGTAAATGGCTTCCCTCTTCTTTCTTGTAGCCCTTCTTGACCGGGGTTGGAGAAGATCTGGCCAATTCCTTTACAAACCTGAGATGGAAAGGACATGCTGCCCTTCTTATACAATTCGTCTGAAGGCAAGTGATTTTATATCTTCCAAAGAGCAACTTCGAGTGTTTAAACGGATGGAAAGGTATTTATCATATCGCCAGTCTAGTGTCCTATGCAATATCATTCCTTGTATGCATGTGCAACGATAGATTGAGTATTTTATTCATTATTGACAATTTGTACGAACTTTGATTTGGATGATGATTATGCATTGATAATCATTACAGCTAGGTTAGGCCACTGGATTAATGAGCATTTATGGCCTAGGAGAAATCACTCTCCAAATTGTGACCCGACTTGTTAATGCATCTGGTAGATTTGTCTCGTCTATGTTGAATTATTTGTCACATTCATTTGCAGAGCTATTTGGATGTTTGCAATATACTCTTTGAATTGGGTTTCCCATCCTCGAAAAGATATTATGTGAGGTTTTTGCTTGCAATATGCTCAATGAATAGGGTTAGCCCTTCTCATTAAAGCCATTATGCAAGGTTATTTCATTGCACAATTTGGTATCACGTTAACTAGCCAATTATGATCATGCCTGATTTAGATGGGGGTGGGGCCCACCATACTGCTGTTTTGAATAAAAACTACCACCTTTTCTTATTATACAATTATTTGTCTGTTTTTAACATTAAGTGCTGACAGCAATAGTATCTAAAAATTAGGTACCTGGATGGCACATTGGATCTGAAAAAGAAAGATGAGTTTATGGATGAACCAAATTCTTCTAAGGGTTCATGCAGCCGTGCCCTAACTGAAATGACAAGCTCAGCGGTGATGGACCTGGAAGTGGGTAAAAATGAAGTGACAAATAAATTGGACCAATTTATGCATCATTGTTCAAAGGAGATTGACAATGCAGTTAAAGCACTAGTTCAAAGTGGAGAGTCTTATTATAATATTGAATTACCAAAAGCTTCTATTAAACATGTTGCATCATCCAAAAGGAAGTTTCTAGCTGAAGGGTCTGAAGAGCTTTGGTTCTCCAGCAATATTTCCTTCCAGATTGCTGCTGCTTTAAGGCGGGCAGAGAAGGATGCACAAAACTCAGTGTTATCTGGAGATAGTGAAGTAAAACTTGGACAATCCCTTGAGCTTTCCCCAAAAATAATTGCAGAAAAACTGGCAAGTTCATTAAACAGTTTAGCAGAAAGCTATGATCTATCAGTCAGAGCTTGCAATGGGCACATCAACTTCTACTCTACTGATAAATATGCTTGGTTGAATGAAGTGGTTGAAAGATCCTTGGTTCCTGAAGCAACTACAGGAAGTGGAAGTAGTTGCTCAAAAAAGGTCTCTGAACATCCACAGGGAAGAAAACGGAGGCTTGAGATCCGTTTGAAAAGGTCAAGTTTTGATGCAGAAGAATTTGCCTTATATAGGCGATACCAGCTTAAAGTGCACAATGATACAGAAGATCATGTTACAGAAAGCTCGTACATGAGATTTTTAGTTGACACTCCATTAATATTTGTTCCTTCAACAGGTAATGGCACAGTTCCATCTTGTGGTTTTGGTTCATTCCATCAGCAATATCTGATTGATGGTCAGTTAGTTGCGGTTGGTGTGATTGACATCCTCCCCAAATGTTTATCAAGTAAATATTTATTCTGGGACCCAGACCTTGCTTCACTGTCACTGGGCAAGTATTCAGCCCTGAAAGAAATAGGCTGGGTGAAGGACAATCAACACAATTGCCCTAGCCTAGAGTTTTACTATCTTGGCTATTACATCCACTCGTGCAACAAGATGAGATACAAAGCAGCATATAGTCCGTCTGAACTTCTCTGCCCTCTTCGTTACAAGTAAGTTATTTATTTGCATTGGAAAACTGACTGACTAAAATTTATGAGGCACTAAATCCATGGGTGTTTTCATTATTTTTGAATATAGATGTGGCTCTTATCCTAATATATGGTTATGGTAAGAGACACTTGTTTTTGGTTTCCAAAGGATTATGCTTTGCAAATTGTCTATCTGTTAACATGAATAAATATTCTGGCTTGCATGGATGGATCCAATAATGATTTTTTTTCCCTGCCCGGGCAGGGGAGGCGGGGGGGGGGGGGGGGGGGGGGGGAGAAGTATTTGGGTGGGGGAAATCAATGCATAGAGACTCAATTGCAATAGTTGATATAAGTTAAATAATTTAATTTACTAAATTTCTAAAATTATGTGTCACTTGAAAATATAAAAAACAAGCTGATGACAAAGAAGAATATGATAACTTGTAGAAAAAAATGAAAATAATAAATTTTAAATTAACAAATAATTAATGCATTTATCTCTAAATTGTACTTGAATTTTAATGGAGAATAAACTTAATGGAGGGTGATTAGAAATTTAAAACTATTACATAAAAATAAAATATCAATAATATGCTTGGATGATAGATCATAAGAAAGCCTTTTTTATCCAAAGTGATTGCCATAATATAATGAATCTTACATACTTGTGTGTAACATAAAGTTCAGTATTAGCATACAAATAAATATAGACATAAAAGCTAAAATATTAGAAGTTCCGAAGTATTGTACAGATTTTCTAGTCTCTATTTTGGGTGAATAAACGATAAAGACAAACAATAAAAATTGTTTTGAATAAATATATGTACATAAAAGGGAACTAGGGAGGACATTTTATATATATATATATATATATATATTGGGGGTGAGGGGGAACCTTGGGTCTGCCCACGTTCACTCAAGATATAACCCCTGAAAGGTGTGTTTATGCCTAGGGATACCATGCTTGATGGAGTTATGGGTTCTACAATATGAAATCTTTACAGGGAAATATGTTGATAGATTTTGTAATCTGCAAAAAATGCATTGTAAAATTTGATTTGTTACGAAGGATACTTGTTTAACCTTCTAGCTTGTTATCTTAGGTTGGGCTAATTTATTTTATTTAATTTTTTTGGCTCATAGATTTTGTTATGTACAAAATAACTTAGTAAAATCTGATTCATCTTGAAAGGAAATCATTTATCCATCTAGCATGCGATCTTAGGTGAGCCTTATATATCTTTTTCAGGTATTGCCGTTGGAAGTTCTATACTTAATTAACAAGTATACATACAACATATTCACTGCTGCTCAATCATCTGACTTGATATCTAAAGCTTGAGTTTATACCTGGTTTTCAGTTTGATGGTGAAGTTATTAGAAACAAAAGTGCATTTTCTCTGCCCCATTTGGCATGTAGCTGACCAGTCATTTGGCTCAATATTCAGTGTTCCTATCATGGCTTATTTCCTACCAATCTTCTTTTGTTGGATTTATCTATAAATTTGTATTAAATTTTTAATAGCTATGCTGTTTGGTTTACCCATTTTCTGTTTCCATTTTCAGTTAAAACAGAAAATGAAGTTGAAAATGTGTTTGGTACTTGTTTTCTGTTTTCATTTCCTGAAAATGTTTTCTAAAATGGGCTGAAAACTGAAAACAACAAAAAGTTGTTTTCAGTGTTTTCTGTACAAAATTGAAAACGCAGTGGCAATTTTGTAATTAAGTCTATTTTCGGTGTTTTCCTCTCTCTTGCTTGTCTATCATGTTCTCCCCGCCTTTCCCTGATCACTGAAGCCTTTCTCTTTCATCACGAATCACTGATCAGCAACAGCCTAACCATCCAAGTCGATAACTATCGACCCCTCATCGGTAACCATCAACAAATTTTTTCTGTTCTCTTTCTCTGCTGTTGAAGCACAATTCTGCTTTCTTCTCCTGCTGACCATGTAGATCAAACCAAATCAAACCATTTGTTGTAGTTCTGTTCTGTGTTGATTATTATACGAATGTGACGAGAATTGATTAATTTTATGAAATTGGTAGTTCTGTTCTGTGTTAATTATTATACGAATGTGATGAGAATTGATTAATTTTATGAAATTGATGAACACAATCTGAAAATCAACTGTTTTATGAAACTGACAAACATTTACCAGGAATCAATTGCTTTATGAAACTATCAAATATGACCAGAAATGACAAACCCTAATAATTGTGGTCAACCAGTTCTGGATCTAGTAATTGAACCTAACCAGAAATTCCAAGATGCAATATACACTAACCCTAATTTTTGGATTTCTGAAATTTCAGCTTCGGCATAAAATTTCTTCGAATTGTTTTAGGGGTTTTTTTATTCACATCAGACAAAGTAGAATTTATGTGAAAATTGCTTGAAAAACAGCCAATTTAGCAACATTGTTGAAGTCATAGTTGTTAGGAGTGCAACGGGCATTGAAACACAAAGGTCTTTTGGAGCTGTAGTGCATTGCGCATGCTTTATTGAAATAAAGTGTGCAATAAAAACATATTTATGTAACCAATACATTTTAACTGTTATAAAAGATAAACAAATATTCAATGTAACAAAGATGATGACTAAATATGTGCAACAAGCCAACAATGAGGAAGACGAGAAACAGAGGTGGGAAGATTGTGGAGTCTGGAGTTTTCTGGACAACTTGGGCTTTCATTTCTCTTAATATTCTCACATGTCCACTTAAAAGCATGTCTTTTGCAATTTAGGAACATGTTTTTATCATAACAAAGTGAAGAATAATTAAAAAAACCTGTGAATTTCACAATAGCACATGCTATGCTGTGCTGTGCTATGGCACTATAGCGCCAATGGTGCACAATAGTGTGCACATTATAAGGTCCAGTGCACTTATTGCATCAGCATGCAAAGGTTGTGCGCATACACGCGCTTTTATAAAGTCCAGTGCACATAGTGCATTGACATGCAAAGGTTGCGCGTCGATATGCTATGCACTATAGCACATGATTTTTGTGCTTTTGACAACTATGGTTGAAGTCAGGTTGCAATTTAGTCTGTTATACCTGATCACAACCCAGCTAAAGGAAGGAGAAGACTGTGTTTTGCAATTTCATGAATTTTTAGTTTTGGTTCCTCATTTCTTTTTCGTTATTCAATCTAGTTCCCGAACTTTTTAGGCCTCAATTCTACATCTGGAAAATTTGAATTTTTTCACTTGAACCTCTACCAAAAACCTTAAAATTTGATTTCTTTTAGTTGAGTTCTTATTTTTTAATTTACAGAAAATGGGCAAACCAAATGTTTTTTTTTTTTCATTTTTTGAAAATAGGAAATAGTGAACCAAACCAAACATGTTTTCTAAAATTTGAAAATCTGAAAATGAAAAATCATTTTCAGAAAATGGAAATGGAAAATGAAATCAGAAAATATTTACACAAAACAAACAGGTCCATATTTTATGTTTCATCATGCTTTCTTGTTACTATAGCATTTGAGTTTTGGATGGCGGTTTCATGTTTTTTCAGTTTTTTGGCTCGGTCTTGATTACATAAGTTTTTGTAGGTGGGTGCCATTTGATATCGCAAAACCATTGCTTGATAGGAGACCATATGTCATCTTATCTGATTATACTGGTTTACCAAACGGAGCAATCTCATCATCTGGCATGCTTGAAAATATTGTACACCCACACCATGATGACCCTAGCCAAGAAGACACAAATGATATTCCTATGGATGAAGATGAAGAGATGGCTGAAGTTGATTCTGATGATTCTGACGAAAAGGCAGACCTCCAATCTAGTGATTTGCCTTCCTTGCAAGTAGAAGGGAGTGTCAATGATATTTTGATTCGGTTAAATGGAGTACATCTGGGATATAAGGTATGTATACTCAATGTTCTTATTATGTACTTTAATTCAGCAAGTGGATTTATGTAATTGTTCTATCCAATGCTTGGTTTGATTGAAAGGATTCGTTGCTAACAGTAAGGAGAGAAAATATACTCTCTCCTTCTTAGGCTGACAACCCCACTCCACAACCACCCCCCCCAACACACCCACACACACACACACACACAGAGTCAAAGTTATGGAGGAAGTTGTTTCCCTATATTTTTTCTTTTAGCAAGGGATGTTAATGGGGCTTCCTTCTCCTTTTTTCTATGTTGGGAGATAGGGGAGCTACCTTTTTCTTCTCTTCCTTTTCTTTCCACTTTCCATATAAACGAAGGATACTATCTCCATCTCTCTTGTGCTTCTACTGTATGCTTGCTGGTTGGTCACTCCTCATAATAGATTCTGTCTCTGTGTAAACAAATAGGAAGAGAAACCAACAAAACAAATTAATGAATGTTGAATCCATAATTAATGATCACTTTCTTTATTATTTTCCTTATCCTTTTCTTTTCTATTTTAGTAATTTCCTATGCCTAAATAAGCTAGTCTTACACTTGATCATTTGTTTGCATGGATATCTATAAACTTTTTGACAAGTATTCTTCTTTGTACTCCAAATACAAGAAAGTGATTAGAAATGGAAAATGTGAATTCAATTAAACCCCCAGCCTGTCTTGTTCAATCACAATTTCAAGTTTCCTTAAGGATTTTTTTTTTTTTTTTTTTGTTAAAGTATCATGCCTGAGAGGATTTGGAATTCAAATGAATGGAAATTTAGTGCAACTCTTTCCCATTTTTCAGTCAAGATTGAAATTTTATTAGTGCTTGTTTCTTTGTCTAAAGGATCTACATGATGCTCTCAGTCCCAGTGAAAGGAGTTACTGGGAAACTAGGTTGCTCAGATACATGAGAGCCGTGGGTGCAGAGCTTTCAAAACAAATGGTTTACTCGCTTGGATGATTGGACAATAATATGAAATGACTTGTGAGATCTCAGTTGCAACAGATTTATATACTGCTGTTGGAGGTGAATGTTTACGACGAAGAATATCTGGTGATCAAATTGGAGTCTGAGGAGTTGCTCTTGCAGAGCTATTTCTTTCCAAGGATCGCTCTGATGTTTGAACAGTTATATTCCAATTGCAGGTTCATGTTGTGTTTTCTATGCATGAATTGGCTGGCGATGCATTCACATGCTGGTCAAAATGAACTTGGTTTTGGACCTGTGGATCTGGAATTTAGAGAAATACAATGTTTTGATACAGATATGTTGGTTTTTTATTTATTTTTCTTTTTATATTCGACTTCACAATCTCAATATTGGCTATGAATTGACAGTTATGATGGACGAATTTGAGTGCATAAAGTCATCCTGCAGCTTGAATACTCGCTGATATAGCTCTAGAGTCCAACTCCAAGTTCTACCTTACACAAAAATTTTCTTTTTCCATTTTATTAATTGTCCTGGGGCATGAGTACGTTGAGCCCTCCCAAGGTAGCAGCCACGGTAGGGATCATTTCTCCAGTCCTCTTGTTGCTCACGTTTGAGTTACTAGCTTAACACGTTTTTCCACATGGTTAATTATCAGCACGGATCAATAATTGATGAAGTATTAATCCCTTTTGAGTTACTACCTCAACTTTGAGTGCGCCTTTGGACTAAGAAAATTTATCTACTGGATGATGGCATTAGGAAAAGCCTACAAATTTCCAGATGGATCATGGGAATTGATGTCGTCTATGTTATGAATACATGCTTTTTGCTATGATCGATTGGCATTTTGTTTCTCTCGTTTTTGGGGTTATTTTGAAGAGGGTTGAAGGAAGATGAGCACAGGAGGACATGATTTCTGACACGGGGGAGAAGGAGATGGTCGCTGCAGGTCTAGATATTTGCATATGCCTCACAAGGGTTGAGAAGAGGACAGATATTTGTGCAAAATATGGATTCTTTATAATCAATTCTCAGACCATTGCTTACCGGTTACTCTCTTGCATTATTTCAGCTCACTTTGAACGTTAGTGGGATCCTTTGTGCCCATTCTTTTAACATTAGTCGGGATATCTCCAAGTGTTACTGGCTTTTTAACAGCCCACTTTGCCAGACGTGAGTAATGAGGTGTTCTATAAACCTCGACATTTAATCTACGTTATCTTAAAGCAGATGAATAAATGGTTTGATCTGATAGAGGAGAGATTAGCATTAAAGTTGGACCAATTGACAATGGAGGGTAAAAAATTTCACAAAGCACTAAACTGATTAATAACTGGGCCAAAAACCAATCTGAGGTCTTTCTTTACATTTGACCCTGCCAAACAAACCTACAATGCCTTGTTTAGTTCACTAGATGCAATTTTTTCCACCAAAATACAAAAATAAATAAAAAAAATAAAGGCAAAAAGGAAAATAAAGAAAAACTAAGCGCCTCTGCAACTTAGTTCACTCCAGTTTCATACCACCCTATTAGTAGAGCGACTGTTGTACCATGCTTCATTGTAGGACAAATTTGGAAATTAGGAATTGTCCATGGAATTACTGATAGATTAGGTAGTTGTTCTCCTAGAAAGTACTAACAATACTTGACTTAAAAGTAGGTGGAAAGATATAAACCTAAATTTTCTATGAAGGGGTGATAGGCGTTTCATTTTCGTTTCTCTTTTTGTTTCGAAAGCACAGGGCAGAAGACAACCTTAGTTTGAAAAATAAAGGATCACTAAAATTAAAGGAATGAATGTTTAAGCAAGGTTCATGTTTTCCATACAAGTTATTTTTGGCAACATGGCCAAGCTGCCAAAGGCGAGAGGGACAATTTCAGAAATCAGAATCCAGAAGTTGAATTAGGTTACATTAGGGGTTAAAGAATATACAATTGTGGATTTGCAGGGTAATCAAACCTCCTCTGCATCACTTCCACTAACCTGTGCTTCATGACTGACCCAGTAGTTGCTCCCATCTGGGCCAAAAATCTTAAACCTGCTCAACCCAGGAAAATATTAAAAATAAAGCCAAGTTAGTGAGGTACTTTAGGCCTTACTTGGATTTTTTTTATTGCTTTTGGAAACAAAGAAACCCATTTGCCAGGTTATTTTTAAGAACTATTTTTGAGAAAATTTTCAGAAATCAGAAACATGTTTAGAAAACAATAAATAATTGTTTAAGAATTCTTAAGAAGTAGTTTAGCGAGAAAATGGACAATATGAAACAACTGAAGTCTTCAAGATTTTCAGAGATTTCTATTTCAAACCTGACGAAAATGAAAATAGTAACAGAACACAATATGAATCCAGCAAGAGCAACATTGCCCAATAACTGCTTAAATAGTCATCTACTAACCGCTCGAGGACAGATTTTCCTTCTTTATACTTTTGATTCTTCTCATGGGCAGTATCCTGAAAGTAAACTAAGTAATTAAAAAAGCAATTGTTTAACACCATAGACCATATATTTTACCAACTCTGGTTCAAGTTCTTACGTATTTCCATCCCACAATTGATCCACAACCGACACAGAAAATATCAGAAACAGTGTGCAATCCAGTCATCATCATCCTATCTTCTTTCTCACCAACCGTGACATTCACTCTGCCATAAATCGGGGGGAAGATAAAGAACATCAGAAAATTGGAAATACGAATACAGAAAAAATCAAAAACAGCTTGTCATGCATAACAGAAAACATATACTGGCATATGCTAACCCAATGCAACCTCAATTCTCCAATTCCTCATTTTGTTTACAGGATTTGATATCTGCAGATCCTCAATCAAGTTCTTCGGGCCTGCAGTGTTTGTATGAATTTGAACATACAAGCGAAGAAAGGGACTTATAGGCTAATGCGAAGACAATCAAAAGGTTATCTTTCGGGAATTTACAACCTTGAGGAAAGGCTTTACATCCCACGGATGCAAGATAACTTTTCAGGGGACGCTAACAATTACAAAGATACTTTTCCTTTTTTTGGGGGGGGGTGAGGGGGGGACACTCATTATCATTCTTGAGATGGGATTTCCAAGATGCTGGATCATGCTTTCATCATGGAATTCAACTTCCATAATGATATTTGGAGAGGTAAATGTAGGAAAGAAATTTTATCATCCATTCTTCTTCTCTTCTATCCATTTCAAAGTCAACTCATTGTTAGGGCCGATAGACAAATATTTAATATTCCAATAAAGGGAATTCATCTCCCACTTATGTGAAGAAATTCTCCATTTGTCCATTTAGCTGCATGGTTTGCCCCAGTGTTTGCCTTTTCACCTGTGCTTTTACATCCTACTATCTTTTACATGGATATATTTTCTCCAACATAATCGAATATATGGATAGGCCAAAAAAAGAAGTGTCTCACAGCCTATCCTCCCCAACCCGTCCAAAGAAAAATGAGGTTTAAGAAAGACCTTCCAGAGAGAGGCTTCTTCCAACACATTGAAGCAAAAACAAATACCAAAAAAATAAAATAAAGTAGGCAAAAATGTCATCATAATAGCTATGCCACAATGCCCAGATAGAAGACTACATAAAAAGGTCTTATTAATAGTAATTTAACTTGATAAGGTAATGGGCTTCCCAGCAAACAACAGATGCTACTATTAAAAGTCCAATACAAAGCCGTACCAAGAACAGTCTCAACTTTGGAATTAGGATGTAATAATGCTTTGTCCAAGAGCAGGAGTAACTTACACCTTACTAAAGAGATAAGCCTTCCATGCCTGCAGTGGAAAGACTGCACAAACAGGGGAGAAAACACACTGAGCAAACTCACCCAGGGAAAGTTTTAAAATAGCATAAATTTGACAAAAAATTAAACAAGACAAAGAAGAAAAGATAAGATTGACTATGTCTTGTTATTTGTTAATGATCATATAAAGTTCATCAATAAAACAAGAAGCCAATAACTTTCCACCGATTATCTTGCCCAAGGAAAACAATAGCTTGTTCGTTTTTAGCAGCAATTCCAAGCGTTCAAACTTCAAAGAGCAGTAATAGGATCAAAAGAATTGAAGGGTTTCCATTTACAAAGCAAAAACTATAAAACAACTTAACACTATTTCTTTGCTATATCACCAAGATCTTAATTTAATGCCGAGGCAATTGCCAATTATCAAGGCCTACAATAAGCTTCCATGTTCTGGATGTGTGTATAACAGAACACAACATTTTTCACCCATGTTCTGGATGTGTGTATTCATATATGGTGGACTCTAGTTTGTTCAGAGGCAAAAAATAAAAATAAAAATAAAATAAACTAGTTTTTGTGAGACAAAGGAAAATATGAAGCTCCATCCAAGGCCAAATTGTTCCCTGGTCTTATCTTTTGTAGGAAGTCAATGATCTTAACATTGGGCATTATACAGTATAATAGGGCAAGAAAAACCCAAAGGATAAGAAATCTAAATTGAAGGGTCAAAAATTTTCAAGGTTGGGACATGGAATCCTTAAACAGAGCAGGGTTGAAGTATCAATTTTTGACGATGGGGAAAAAACAAGAGGGGGGGAGGGGGTGGAGGGAATAGCAGCCCGGAAGATAATTTCACCATCAATTGTAACGACTTATGCATTATATGCAATAAGTTGTGGTATTATATATATAGCCTTACCTTCTTTAATCAAAACTCGGAAGCAATAAATGTTTAATCCTAATAAGTTGTAATGCTGTATTCCACAAGTTAAAGCGAAGTCATCATGTCTAGCCATCCAGTTATCAAGAACATTGAATTTAATGAAACAACATAAATCAGCCTAGAATCACAAGAATAAGCGGAAAAACATTAATACATCAATGATCAGAGACCATAGACGAGGGGAAAAGAACCTTGGAAACGATGTCGTCATAGAGAGCTAAATTCGTACGGCAGTGCTTGCAGCTGTAGATCTTGCCCTCAAGGTCACGACGAACAGTCTCCCCATTTTTCCCCGCTCCCCCTCTCTCTACAACCCTCTCTTTTTCTCTCTAGAGCTTCCTCAATCTGCAACCGCCACCCTTGAAACCAAACCCACTATCCACATCAAATGACGGCGATCCTCGAAACGTAAACAGAGTATTAGCAAAGAATACCCACGATTTATACGAGGAAGATCGAAGAACAGTGATGGACCATACGTGAAGTAATCGAATAAAAGTGCCCAGCAAAGTTAAGGAATCATTCGAGCCTGGTCAATCATATTACCTTTAAAGAACGGAACCTCCAAGAAATTCGGGCAAAGAAGTAATCGCATTTACACTCACAAGCAATCAGATATATACTATTCCTTGTAAAATGAAAATTTGACGAAGACGTGTAAACTACGTCTACTGTTGTCTCTCCAGTATATAAACGAGTTTTTATTGTTTATAAAAGCGAATCGTACTGCATTGGGAGTTAATTTAAAAAAAAAGTTATAAATTTTAGTATTAAATAATATTATATTAAATATTTTAATATAATTTTAATTTAATAATTTTAAAATTGATAAAAAAATATTTTGAGTTGACATATTATATATAATAATTTATTAAATTATTTATATTAAATGTAAAAATATTAATGGTAATTTAATAATAAATTAAATAAATAAAAAAGTTAAGAATATGTATGAAAAAGAAGTGTAAGCATTAAGGATTAAAGAAAAAAATGATTTTAATATATATCATGCTATTATAAAGTAATTTTTTAATTTTTGTACATCTATTAGAAAACAAGATCTTTCCTTTTTTATTTTTTTTAAAATTTTATTTAGATTATAATGTAATAAATCACTTACTTATTTGTTACTTATTTTAAATTTCATAAATTATTTTAAACACGTGAAGTCCTGTCAAAAAAGTTTCTCACGTACACTTATCAATTTTAAATAAGTAAAAGTAGTCCTAAAAAAAAGAAGATATAAATAAAAAAAAATTGAACTAAGTACTAGATTTTTTTATGTATTTAAGTGTTTGGTTGTTAATTGGATATCCTTGTCATGATACTAATCTTCTTGGTGCTTTTAGTTACATCTTGTAATTTGTATTGCATTATTTGTAATTTTATTTAGATTTTTAATTTTGAAGATAGATAAGAGTAGGAATTTTCTTTTAATTAGTTAATTTTTCTTTATAACACCGTCACATTATCCTCATTATTATTGAGAGTAAAATAATTGTACTATCTTACTTTACCCCCTTTATTTTTTATCATAATATTTATCTCGTTGAAATTAACACCATTAACTTAATCTTATATTTACCTCTTTAAATTTTAAATCTTAAATATTAAATTTTTTAAAACAAGTTAATCTTAAATACTAAAATAGAATAGTTAATTATTAAAATTTTAAAAAATTTAAATTACAATTGTAGCAACCCAAACTAATTTCGGTTTTTAGTTTTATATAAATTTATGTATTTGGTTGTATTTTAAAATTTATTAAAAAGGAATTTGAGGTGTTTAAGGTTAAGGGAAGTATATATGAAAGTTTGGAAATAAGTTAAATTTTTATAATTTTATATATATATATTGTAGCAATACTATAGTAGCGCGCTGTAGCGCATTCTGGAATTTTGGCGTCGTGGTGTGCCTAGGCACTATAGCACGCTGGGCACTGGAATGAGCATGCCGGATTGTGATTTTTTGGGTTTTTTTAAAATTTTTGGGATTTTTAACCCTTTAAAGACCTCTAAACCTTTTTGAACTCATAAAACTATAAAATAAAAATTTTAGTGACTTCTAAAGTACCCAAAATTAATCTAAAAATTTATAAGAGCAAAAAATTGTGAGGTATTAAGGAAAGGACAACTTGGTCATTTTGTCCCCATGATCATTCTTTAAACCCCTCAATCCATTCTAAGTCTCCTAAAAAACCCTTCTCCCGCGTGAAAACCTAGAGAGAGAGAGAAAGAAAGAGAGAGAGGAGACGAAAGAAGAAAAAACAAACAAAAAGGTAAGAGATCTCACTCTACTTGGTTTATGCTTCAAAATTTTTGTTTATCTAACTTATTTACTCCATTCTAGATCTTTTAATCGGTATAAATTTTATATTTGATGGTGTTTATGTGTTGTAGAGAGAGAGAGAAGCGGGTTTAATCTCATCCATAGGAAATATTACATGATTGTAATGATTTTAACTAAAATAACTTTAAATTTTATTATATTTGGTGAATCTATACTTATAGGGCGCGTTCGGTAGGCTAATAAGGGGTGAGAAGATAGTTTTTATCTGCGGTTACATACGTTCGGTTGGCATGTACCAAATTCAGATACAGATATGCATCCATATATTCGGATAACTAATCGGCCGTTCATGGGGGGATAAAATTTTATCCCCCTGAGAAAGCTTTGAAATTCTCCTTGGCGGACAGGAATGCCCTGTCCTCCTCTTCACGACTGCGAAGCCAATCTTCCTTCTCCCATCGTTTCTCCTACAACCAGCCGCTGCCGAACGCCCAAACGCTAGGAATGTTGGCATCGCAATTTGAACACAGATTTCGGCTAGGAGTAGAAAATACGAAGTTGAAAGCTCTGGAAGCCAAGAGTCTAAGTTGCGAACACCAAACGCCCGAAGCCCGACGCCCAAATGCAGAGCCCAAAAGAGAGACGACGCCCGAATGCTCGAAGCCCGAATGCCCGACAGTGCAAGCCAGATCTGCAACGGAGATGTCGTGGGCAGAGGCGAAGCAGAGGGAGGAAGGGTCACCAGGGGTCGGCGCGACCGATAGGGTGAGGTGGACAGAGATGGCGGGCTCTATCGTGTGACCCATCCGGCGGCTCTGTCATGCGACCCGATCGGCAGGGGGCGGCTATATTTGTTTTTTCTTTCTTTTTTTTTAAAAAAATTCATATAAGAAAGGATATTTTGGTAAATTTAAAATTTTATCTCACTTTTCAAAAATTTTATCCCATTTGTTATATGTTGGACCGAACTTGTGATAAAATTTATCATTTTGATAAATTTATCCAGTTAAATCTTATCACCCTATATCCTATCCCCTAATCTGAACGCCCCCATAGTAGATTTTTTTGAATCTTAATCTCGCATTTGTGGTTGAAATAAAGAGAGAATAGGTATGTTTGGTTTGAACTCAAAAGTTGAGAGAGAGTAAAGGCACGTTTGATTTGAACCAAAAAGTTGATAAAAAGAGTAAGGATTTGTATTCATGTAATCTAGAGTATAAGCATACATTTACACTTTGTATATATGATGTTATTTTCATTTCACATGTGCATCCCATGTGTAGGAGAAGAAGACAGAGTTGAGTCTAATGTCAAGCCTATAATTCCAGAACCCTATTCTTAGATCATCTACTTTAATGTGAGTGACTTATTCTCTAAACTTAATTTTTTAATTAAATGTATGTTTTTATATGAAAATATGAACTGTTTTGAAATCATGAATGTATATTTGGTATGAAAATATGGAAACAGAGTCTTTATATTTTGCTTTTAACATATATGTGGGTTTTAATGATTTTATAAAACTTTAGTATTTTGGCACTTAAATTGAAATGTCAGACAGTCATTTGAAATAGGTGGTAGTCCTACGTATATGACAATGTACATAGTGGGGTCTCAGAGCACCACAAATTGCATCAGCTTGACCTAGAGTGATGACCCATGGTGCAAATTACACAGTGTAGTAGCATTTGACATATTTAGATGATTTTTTTTTTTTATAATTTAAATATTTTACTATCCTCAAGGATTGTCGGCTGTGCACATCGATCAAAATTATATACCTATGCATTACTATGATTTAAATGTGATTCTTTAACATGTTTCTTGATTATGAATTATGGGTATAATTGGTATACATTGAAACAGAAAGTAATTGTTATGATGTTACTCGTTTTTACTTTTCTTTGATATAAATGTTTATGAACAATGGATTTATTTATTATAGATATGAAATTCTCTCTATTTTCGCAAGTTTAACTGTATGCTATTTACTAGGAATTCTATTCTCATTACTTCATTTTTACAGCTTCAGGCCTACGTAGTTGATACCTTTGCACTTGTTACTGCTCGTGCTTTTATAACTCACTAGTTGAGGTGGTCAGATATAATTGAGAGTATATTTTATAGCAATTGGAGTTATTTTTGAAGTGTTGTGCCTATGTTATTTACATTGAGACTCTGTATGATGATATTTTGTATAATAAATCTTAGTACAAGATTTTTTGTTATGAGGTGATGATGTTGCTGATATAGATATATTTGTGTTGGAGTTATATCTAAATTGCTTATGGATGTTGATAGTAGAGCACATGCTATTAGGGCGCGTTCGGTAAGGCTGATAAGAGGTGATAAAATAATTTTTATCCGTTGTTACACGCGTTCGCTTGGCATGTAACGAATCCGGATACAGATACGTATCAGCGGGATTCGGATAAACTATCCGTCGCTCTCAACTGGATAAATTTTATCCGGGCGTGTTTAATCTGGCTATCGGACAAAAATGCCCCGAGTCATACGGGCGCTGCAAGGCGAACAACAGAGTTGCAATCACCTCTAAACGACTCTGGCTGTCGGACAATCGCCTCTGAACGACGGAGTCCAAGGCGAACGACGGAGTCGGACAAAAAGGCCATCGCAATCGCCTCTGAACAACGGAGTCGGCGCAGCCAGGCTAGATCTGAACGACAACGCAGAGTCGCTATCGCAATCGCCTCGAACGACGGAACCTGTGATCTGGCGGTGTATGTCGTGCTCTGTCCTGCTTTGTTATGCGACCCGACGCAGGTTCTGCGTGCGACCTGATTCGGCGGCTGGCTGGATTTACAACGACGCAATCCGGCGGGCTCTATCCTGCTCTGCGTGCGACCTGATGCGGGCCTGCATGCGACCCGATCTGGCACGGCGGCCGGCTGGATTTACGACGACGCAGTCCGGCGGGCTCTCTCCTGCTCTGTGTGCAACCCGATCACCCAATCCGGCTGGATTGGGTTTATTTTGTTTTGTTTTTTTTTTTACAAAAGGGCTTTTTAGTAAATTTAAA